CTCGGGGGCATGGAGGGGCGATGCGCGCGGTCGGAAGCCCAATGAACTCTCCCTCCTGTCCTTCCTCGCGTCGTTCCTTCCACTTCCCCTGCCTGGTTCCCTGCGCTCTCTTCCCCCCTCCCGATTTCCCGCACCTCCCAAGCCTCATCTCCCCTCCCTCCCCCACTCGCCCTTCCCCCCTCCTTCAAATCCTCCTCCTCCTCCTCCCCCTCCTCTCCCTGCCCCTCCCCCGCATCCCACCTCTCCCCATCGCCCTCCTCGATCCCGCTCCCCTCCCCACTCGCCTGCCCCCCCCCCCCCCGCAATTTTGCCGATGATAGGCACTCCGCCCTCCTCTTCTCCCCGACCACGGATGGTCAAGCACCGCGGCTTCCGTCTTGCTGTGCGCTTTGCGTATACATATCGATGCATACATACATACATATCGATACATACATACATACATACATACATACGTACACACATACATACATACATACATACATACATACATACATACATACATACATACATGCATGCATACATACATACATACATACATAAATCTATATACATACATACATCCATACATACATACATACATACATACATACATACATACATACATACACACATACATGCATACATGCATGCATCCATACACATACATACATACATACATACATACATACAAACATACACACATACATACATACATAAATACATACATACATACATACATACATGCATACATACACACATGAAGTACATACATACAACCATCAATACACACATACATACATACATACATACATACATACATACATACATCCATCCATACACACATACATACATACACACATACATACATACATACATACATACATACATACATCATGCATGCATGCATGCATGCATGCATACCCACATACATACATACATACATACATACATGCATGCATGCATACATACATACATGTACACAAATGTATCGGAATCCAACATGTGTAGTATACGCAAACTTGTATTAATACTTACCGTGTGCAGGCACTGAAACTGCATTCCCCACCACCAATGGTTGTTTGCTTCTAGTCCGCTCGGAATCTTTTCGGTCGTTCGGTCGTTCGGGATGGCGCTCTCACATCGGCGCCTGCCACATCCCTGTCCTGCCCTTGACTCATTACGCATGATGACTGCTACTCTCTGGAGGTCTTCAGAAGCCCCAAATGGGCCCAGAGCATTCAAAAACCTCGACCCTCGATATTCTCCCCCAGAGACCTCTGGAGGCACAAGAAGGGTCCAGAACGTCCAGAGACCTCGGCCCTCGATCTTCTTCCTCGGACGCTTCTGGGTGTCCCAGAACGGCCCTGAGGGTCCAGAGACCACGAACCTCGATCATCGATGTTCTTCCCCTCGGAGGGTTCTGGAGGCCGAGAGAGGGTCCAAAACACCGATCGGAAATCTACCGACCCGGGTCGATCCAAACCTGGGCCAGTCAGGCCCCGCAGGATCCTGCAAGATCTTGTAGGGCCTTGCAGGATCCTTCACGCAAGCCCAGCTCAATTCAGGGATGGACAGACCTCCCTTTAGTAAAACGTGGATTAGTGAAAACGACTTCGGGCCCAAACCTGGCGGGCGCAAGCCTGGAAAATAACGGCCGCGGCGCCCTCTCGAAAACCGAAAACGGACAATTCACTAATCGACGTGTCAGGGTAGGAGGTCTATCCACCTCCGATCAATGCACTCCTGGCCCTGCAGGACCCTGCAGCATCCTGCGCTCTGGATTACCCCCGTTTGCAGTGACCCCCGCCCCCTCGAGCCCCGAACGCCCAGCGTTCTCGACCCCCTCCCGGAGATCTTCGGAGGGTCCAGGGGGGCCCAGCACGTCCACAGACCTCGACCCTCGAACTTCTCCCCCGGGTGGCCTCAAGAGGCCCAAAGAGGGTCCACAACGTCGAGAGATCTCGAGCCCTCGGCCCTCGCTCTCTCCCCCTGGAGGCCTCCTGAGGCCCAGCAAAGGTCCAGAACGTTCAGAACCATCGGTCCTCGATCTCTCCCCCTGGAGGCCTCCTGAGGCCATGCAACGTCCAAAGACCTCTATCCTCGATGTCCGCCCGAGAAACATCCGGAGGCCCTAAAAAGGGTCCAGAACGCCCAGAAACCTCGACCCTCGCTGGTCTGCCCAAGAGACCTCAGGAAGCTCGAAAGGGATTCAAAACGTCTCGAGATCTCGACTCTCGATCTTGTCCTCCAGAGGCATGAGGGCGCCCCCAACGGGCCCAGAACTTCCGCAGACGTCGCTCTCGATCGTTCCCCAGGAGACCTCTGGAAGCCCGAAAGGGTTCCATGACGTCCAGAGGCCTGACCCTCCATCCTCGATGGTCTCCCCAGGAGGCCTCCGCCAGCCCCAAAAAGTGTCCGAAACCTGCAGAGATCTCGATCCTCGATCTTCGCCACCAACCTTCGATGTTCGACCCTGCTTCGCGCACGGCGCACTTCAATTGTCTGCGTCGTGTCTCCACCTGAGAGTCGCCCAACCTCCCTCTGCGCTTCCTAGTTCCGTATGGCCCCTCTTTTCCCTTGCCTTTCGAACAGCAGACGACGGACCAATCAGTGCAAATGCCATCTAAGGATGCAAGGTCCGATGGGACAACCGACACACCACCAAATAGAACTGGATTCAGCGCAACGGGAAAAGATGCGAGGGTTCGGATGTCAACGGTGGCCCGGTCCCGCTCCTAATCCGCCCCTCTCCCCTCTCTCCCATCTCCGCTCCCTCACATGTTTCCTCCACCTCCCCTCTCTTCCCCCCTCTCCCACTCGTTTTGACACACGTCATCACCACTTCCCACTTCCCCCTCCCCCCCCCTCGTCCGCTACACTCCTCCCCCCTTTCTCCTCCCTTGCACGCTTCCCCCCCTCGCGCCGACCTCTCCCCATCATTCCCAAACCTTTTCCGTCGGCGGCGAGGCGGGGCAATCCGCTCCAGCGTGGCAGCGATGCAAGGGCACTACAAAGCGAATTGGCCGACATGCAGGAGGGGGGAGGAGGAAAAGGTATAAGGGGAACGAAGAATGATATAAATATACAAGCTCGGAATCCGCACGGACCTCCGAGTTCATGTTTATGTCATTTTTCGCTCCCCTAAGGCAGGGCGGCCGCGGGGGGGGAGGAGGCGGAGGAGGAGGAGGAGGAGGAGGAGGAGGAGGAGGAGCAGGAGGAGGACGAGGAGGAGGAGGAGCAGGAGGAGGAGCAGGAGGAGGACGATGGGGGAGGAGCAGGAGGAGGGGGGAGGAGAGGAGGAGGAGGAGGAAGGAAGGAGGAGGGGAGGAGGAGGAGGAGGAGGAGGAGGAGGAGGAGGAGGAGGGGAGGAGGAGGAGGAGGAGCAGGAGGAGGGGAGAGTAGGAGGAGGAGGAGGAAGGAGGAGGAGAGGTAGAGGAGGAGGAGGGAGGAGGAGGTACGAGGACGAGGAGGAGAGGAGAGGAGGAGAGGAGGAGGGAGGAGGAGGAGGAAGGAGGAGGAGGAGGAGGAGGAGGAGGAGGAGAGGAGAGCAGGAGGAGGAGGAGGAGAGGAGGAGGAGGAGGAGGGAGGGAGGAGGAGGAGGAGGAGGAGGGAGGAGGAGGCGGAGGGGGGGAAGGAGGAGGAGGGGAGGAGGGGGAGGAGGAAGGAGGAGGAGGAGGAGGAGGAGGAGGAGGAGGAGGAGGAGGAGGAGGAGGAGGAGGAGGAGGAGGAGGAGGAGGAGGGAGGAGGGGGAGGAGGAGGAGGAGGAGGAGGGAGGAGGAGGAGGAGGAGGAGGAGGAGGAGGGGGGGGAAGGAGCAGGAGGAGGAGGAGGAGGAGGAGGAGGAGGAGGAGGGGGGGGGGAGGGTAATTTTGTTTTAACGCTCGACCTCTGCTTGACCCCCAACGAGTGGGGACCGCCTCTCCTCACAGCACAGTCCAGGGAGAGGGCAACAACTGTACGTTCTTCTCCCTCTTGATCTGCTGTGGGCGTCGGCCTTGGATTACATAGTTCCAGGCCGTAAGTCCTGCCCCTGTCTTCTTACAGGAACAGGGTTCACCCAGCTTCTTGACGCGGCCGCCTGTGCTGTAAGAGCCGCACCGGCGGCAGATACAGAGGAAAGAGCCGTCCGTGCAGTCCAACAACGCACAAAGATGGTTGAACTGCTCAAGGAGGCTCGGGCACAGGCGGGGAGGCACTACACAGTGGCCAGGCGCTGGGCGCGCCTGACCTCGCTTGCCTCTCAGACACGTGCTGCACTGCCAAAACTCCCCAGACCAACACCACTCGTGGGGCGTCTTCGACGTCTGAGCTGGTGGGGCCTGGAGCTTGATGAATTGAACGCCAGATAAGTCCAGCCGCGGCCAGCGCGGCAAAAGCTTGGTTGCCAAGAGGATGACAGCCTTCGCAATCCTGATCTCACGCTCGACGCGAGACAGGACGACAGGGTCGGCTTGGGGATGGACACTTGCGCCCCGCTTAGCCGCGAGGTCGGCATGAAAGTTACCTGTCCTCCGCCAAGCCTCCTGAGCAGAAATTCCTGCTTCATCTACAGCTATGTGCGCGGCGACTTTGACCAGGCCCTGGAGGAGGGGGCCAGCACCCGCGAAGGCTTCCAGGACCGAGCCCGCGTAGGCCCTATGCCCCTCCAGGCGGTCCCGAGGCGCCCTGGAACACACAGAAATAACCGACGCACAATCCGAGAAAAAAGTCGCTGGCCCATCTAAATTGACACCAGCAGCAGCCAGTGCCGTGAACTCACCAGCCTGAGAGGACTGCGGCAAGTGAGAAAAGACAAGCCCTAGCACTCTGGTCAAGAGATGGCCCTGATCAGACAACAGCACAAAAGCCCAGCCAGCTCTGGACAATTCACGAATCTTAGACTGAAAACAACTGCCGTCCAGGAACAAACTGCCTTCAAAGCGAATATTCTCGGGCCCTTGGAACTCCAAGCCTGAATCCTGGAAACCTTCCTGGAAGAACTCCATCTTGACAGCATCCGAGTCCTGCTGGCTGACTGGT